CCCCTTCAGTAACTTAACTGAAATTGAAATTGAGTGAAGGAGGTTGTGGAATGTAGTGTAACTGAGGCAGGAGAGTAGAGGGAGAGAATCCTGATGATGCTGCAGAGGAAGAAGACAATATAGGTACAAGGGGGGTTATCATGCCACCACCATTGCTTCCCATTTTTGTGATCCAATTTGTGAATCCAGGCAAAAAACGAATGTCTTCACCTCTGGTTGTTCTTTCCTATCAGTCAGAAAAAATATAAGCATAAAGAGATAAATTATCGACATATAAAAAAATACCCCCAAGTTATAATGAAAAGGATGTATGTACTCAGTACAAAGGCCAGGTGCACTTCTTAGTACGGAGACTGGGTGAGGGCATTTTTGAAGAGAGCTGATAGTGTTTTAATTGTTCCGTTTAATTAGAGTAACCTTTACGATGTTTATTGGAAATGAATCTAAATTAATTTATGAAATGCAGGATTAAGAAGCATTCCACCTATTTTTGGTCCATGAATAAATGTCTCAATTGTTATCAGAGTTGAACTCTATCTTCCATAAACACTTTGTGAGTTCTTTGTAAAAGAAGGGAGGCAAAAGGCTAGATTGGAAAATCAGAGAAGAAAGAAAAGATGAATGTTGCTCAAAGAATTTGATTCTAGCGTGAGATTTTCCTGCAAGTTAAACAGTCGACTCAAAGAAAAAAAAAAATCAAATGTCGCGGAATGAAAAGAGTTCACACGTTAGCTTTGACGACATACGATGATTAGCATCTCGGTGGACATAACAGAACTACCAAAGCAACTTATGCCACGTGTGAAAAATACACAAGATACTCAGGATGATCAGATGTATGCAATACAATTCAGGTAAATAAAATGTTCAATTCTGCAAAATAGAAACTTGATATGTGCTTAAAAGAGAAAACATACTTCAAGTAGAGGGTGCAGCTATAATCTTAAACAAGAAATATAAAAAGGACAATCACCTTAGCATTTGGGGCAAACCCAGAATATATGCCAGCAGCCCACATGGGGGAACAGTTGGTTGACATTCCAAACTCTTGGGGTGAAGCTGAAGCAGTTTCGACCTATTAAATTGCAGAAGGCTCAATGGATAGCTACAAAAAGATGCGTGAAATTTATAATATTAAGTTATCTTCCAAAATTACACGTACCTCCTTTTGAGGATCCAATTTTGTCAAAGAGAAACAAAAGAAATACATTAATTTTGGTAGATATTACATGTAGCTTGAGTTAAATAATTGGTTCATTCGAGCAATATCAATGAACCACCAAGAAAGTGAAACTCTCCAGTTTGTATACATGAAATGAATCACAACAGCAACAAAAGGCATGCATTGAAGGCTGGGAAAGTACCTGTATTCTCTTGCCATCAGGCATTTCATTTGATGCATGAGAGAACTGCAAATCCATTGTTATGCTATTATCACGTGGCCCATCTGAAGATAAAGACATCCCAAGGTTTAGATCAAGATTGCTGCCACAACCTGCATTCAAAACTCCATCCATCAGACACAAAATCAACTACTTCACTTTTCTATGAAAATAGGACAAACAGCAAGCCATAACCAAGGCCGAAAATAGACAAAAACGCTGCTTGTAATATACCTCCATCTTTGGTTTGGACAATTTTCCTCTCATCGTTACCAGACTCCAAGTTCGTCACAGTTACTTTTCCATTACATTTGATGGCAGCTTGGTTATAAGACCTGAATAAAAAAGGGGGCCATCAATGACAATTAATCCTGCAAAAATAATCCTAGCCCGACTGTCCATAAGCAATCAAATTCACGATTGCAAAAGGACCTTGCAGCTTCACTATCGAGTAACCCAAGATACGTATACGAACAAATAAGTATTTTTAATTTTATAGATAAAAGTTGTTTTCCTCTCTCATCCATTTAATCTGATTGGCCCAAAATTGTAGATTAATCACAATGCAACATAAAAATACAGTTAAGAACATCAGATAGAACAATAACAATTAACTGACTCAAGAAAATATAAAAATAATAATAACAAATATATTATTCTTACTTCTTTCCAAAGAATTGACCCATTCTTGCCTCCCATGGACCACATTTATGCAGTGTAACACCTCTGTACTTTGAGCTTCCTCGAGGGAAACCTGTGCTTTGACGGCGAAGAATGTGAACAAACTCTTGTTTTGTAAGGTTCTTCATCTGCAAAATATACATTCATCGTCAAGCAAAGAGCATAATATTAGCAACATACTAAATATAGCTCTAAACCTGTTTCATATCCTCTTCATAATCATTGATAGTGAAATTGATATCAGCATCAACCCCACGAAACTTGATTGCAGCACGATCGTATGCTCTGAAAGAAAACATAACTGAACTCAAACAAACTTCCCCAAAAGGCACCAAAATCAAGTCAATAATTTAATTTGAAAATGTCCAAAAATCTCAATTGCAAGTAGAAAGTAGAAACCTTACCTAGCTGCAGTATGAGCTGTGTCAAACCCTCCTGAAAGCCGAAAACACAAGACAAACAGTTAAAGTAGATGCCTAAATATAGCATCAGTAATTGTAAAGTTAAACCTAAACATAAAATAAAGACAGAAGAAAAGACGTTCTTTACCCAAATAGACTTGTTTGCCACAATCCCTGCAAGAGGAGATAAAAATCTGATAAATTAATCTAGTCAATAAACTTAAACCATTTCCCATTCAGTCTCAAGCCTCCTCAAGGAAAGAAAAATTATCCCACATAAAACAATTTCCAAATATGAAGCTGCTCTTCACCACCGAAAAAAAGAAAAAAAAAAGCACTGGCAAATCAATGAGGACTTTTGGACTTCCAAAAGTACCATACTACTGTACATCGATTTACAACATCGTTCTATTAATCCCTAGCAAGGCATCATACACACACAGACCTTCATGCAACTAATTTAATCCTCAGAGAGAGAGAAAGAGAGGTGATGTAGAGACGAACCAGATATGGGACTCCCATCTCCCAGTCCTCCTGTAGAAGGTAACCCCTCGATACTGCGAGCTCCGAGAGCGGGGCCCACGCCTGCTCTTCTTCACCTGCGGCTGCTGCTGCTGCACCAGATTACTTGCCTTGTAAGCCCCGAAATCCACCCCGCCGCCATCCCCGACCTTGGGCGCCGACAGATTCAGCCAGTACCCAGCCCTCAGCAACGCCGGAGACGGCGAGGGTGCCCCAATCGGGAAAAGTTGCAGCTCGTTCCTGCTATCGGTGGCTTCATCACTAACTTCATCGTCCTCAATCTCGATTACCCCCTTGTCAAGGATTGGGAAATTGAGGGTTGACAGGCGGGCGGCGCTGCTGCAATCGGCGACCTCTTCCGCGCCGGCGGCGGTGGGGAAAGCAATGTTGGTGGTGGATGTGGTGGTGGACGCCACTGAATCCGCGGTGGCCGTCGTCTTGCCGCCGCGGTGGGCCTCGTCGGGGTCGACCAGAAAAACGGCGTCAACATTTAGATCCAACATCTCAGCCTCTTTCCGGTGCGTGTTTTCGCGAGATTAAAAAGAGAACCGCCGTCTATACGTATTTATATATCTGTATGTGTGTGTGCAGCCAGGCAGTTGTCCATTTTAGACCACGCGAAGAAGATGAAAACTCTCTCTCTATATATGTGTGTGAGCGTGTGAGAGAGAGTGTAGTGTGTGTTAAAGTATATATCGAGGTCGAATCGAATTTTTGAGAATAACTGATGAATTGAAGGCACTCAATAGAGGAAGAAGCTATTGGGGTGGAGGGGTGAGAATATATAGATACAGCTAAGGTCTGTATGTATATGCTAAAGAGAGGCAAATTTGGGAAGAAAAAGAGAGATCATAGGAGTTCCATTTTAGGGGTGGTCAGCTGTGGGAGAAAATATTGCTGCCAAAACTGGATCATTTTTATAGATAGACAGATAAAGAAAAAGCAGATTGGACTGTTGGAGAGAGAAAGACATGTAAGGTTGGTATTGTAAAGTATGGGTCTTCTTTAGTTAAATATTTAAAAAAAAACAAAAAAAAAAAAAAAAAATAGGACCGATTACCCAACACGCTACAAATTAAATGGTCCCCCAACTAGTGATTAAATTGATAGGATCCCCTATATTTTAACTGAGAAGGTGTTGAGTCTATGTAGCAGGTTCGCATATTTCGGAATTTTATGTGGTAAAATTATATGCTTCGTTATTAGGCTTGGATAGTTTTAATTTAAGTTCGGATTATCTATAAATATGTTGATTATTTATGATGAGAGTGGACGCGGTCCAGGACGATCCTGGATTTGACTTATCCGAATACCCATCTCACTTTTATGAATCCGTCCATAAATGGTCCCGGATGAGGTACAGTCCCCATCCATATAATATATGGATGTTGTACTAATTTTAATTTATTAATCAATCGAGTTTAGAACAATTATATAATAATTACTATTATTTACAAGTTGAATGGTCCCCCCAACTAGTGATTAAATTGATAGGATTTTTTATTAATCAATCGAGTTTATAACACTCGTATAATAAAAAATAACTATGTCTAATAAAACAATAATAATTATATTTATTATAAAATTGTTCTAAACTCCATTGATTATTACGAACCATTAATTCTACACAAATATTTCCTAATCAAAATATGCATTTTACTTTTTGAGAAAAAATATATAAGGAGTACAATTGTTTTTTTTTTCAATATTAAATAAATATGAAAAGAAAAAGTTATTGAGTAATGATTTTTAGGCAAAAATCTAATTTTAGTCTGCTAACTTGTCCGTTATCCACTTTTAGTACACTATATTTCCCCTCATAAAAAATGATCCATTATGTTACAATTTTCATCAGTTTTAGTACACTAATCCCGTGGCCCGGGATTACGAGATGCCAAATCAGATTTTTATCCTACCACATCAATATCTTATCCCTACATAGTTCTAATCCCGGTCCACGTCCTCTTGTAATCCCGCCAACTGGAGTAGCGTACTAAAACTGATAAAAAATGTAACATAATGGACCATTTTTTTATGAGGGGAAAGATAAAAGTGGACAATGGACAAATTAGCGGACCAAAATTAGATTTTTGCCATGATTTTTAACGTGGAAAAAATAATTTGCTACTTTAGAGATAAAATTCGAAGCGTTAGTAAACTCAATAATGCGTTTTTACATTCAATTTTGATGAAACTTCTGTAAAAACAGAAATTTCTGGTTTATAATTAAATTAAAAAAATGTGGGAAAAATATATTATAGTATTAGAGCATCTAAAAACAATAAAAAGATATATAATATAATATTATTTTTCAAATAACTAGCACGAGTTATTACAATTTACAATTCAAGCTGGGGAATTGCAGCCTTGGAAGGTGCAGTGGTTAAAAGAAAAATATTTTCCTTCTGTTTCTTTTTAGATTTCGTTTTAATTTAAAACTTCTAAATTACGATTTCAATGGGTTGTGTAATAATCTTATATTTTAATCTTATTAAATTTAGTTTTTGAATTATTAATGGGTGGTTTTTAAAGATAATGATAAGAGATAAAGTTTGTTAAAGAGAATAAAGTTGTAAGAATGAATATAATATTTCCAACGACAAGTAATTTGCAAAAAAGTTTACATCCTACAACGACATCTAAAAAGAAACAGAGGAAGTATCACATTAGTCTCATCTCATTTCTAATATGTGCGGTGACCGTTTGGCATGCCAATTACCTTTTCATTGCATAAAAAATTGTACATTCAAATAAAAATTGTATAATTATATGTTATATTCAAAATTAACAAAATAAAAAAAATTACTTTGCAAATAAATTTATTTTTTTTGTTAAAAAAATATTATCAGCTTTTAAATACATTTACAATTATAATAAGAAATGATATAAAAATAAAACTAATACATGTAACATGACCACAAATAGTCAACATATTTATGGATAATCTGAACCTAATTATTTTTGGATTAGAAGTAAATGAAAATTTATCCAAACCAAATAATGAAGCATGACACATAAGATCTCGAAACATGCGAGTCTGTCCCTTAAGCTCAGCACATTCAAAAATTATATATAAGAGGGATATTCACACGCAATATTGTGCATTAATTAAATTCTTTAAAAACTACATATTTGATCCATGAACTAAATTGTAATATAAATGCATGCCTATAATTACCAACAATGGAGTTGTTACTCTTTCCATAGCACATACACAAATGGATGGGCCACACATAAAAACCATGCGAACAATCATATGAAGTTCCTAAAATTGGGCTATGCCTATTCATAACCACACTTGTGCCTAATTAGTTATATATTTTTTTCATCAACAAATAAGTATAATAATTATATAATATAATATATATGATGTGGTAATATTAGCAGGATTGAACACATAAATTATATATTGCAAATCATTTAATCTATTTTATGGTTATTGAATGGCACTGTATACCTACTTGTGTGTATGCATTTAAAGGTAGATGAGTTGTATTTTTAGTACGTCAGGACGAATGAGTCGCATTCAAAGGTAGAGGTTGCAATTTCTCATTTTTATTGTTCGGCAAAAATGGTTTATATATATATATACACCATGTATATTCCATTTTCTTCATTAAGAACTTAAATTATGGTGCGTCTATATTCATGCATCCAATTGTTCAAGAAATGTATTTATAAACATTAGAAAAACTATCTGGAAGATGTCTCCATTGTGTTGGGATGGGCTGAGCAGTAGCAATGACAACTTCAAAGACTAGTGGTGCAGAGCTTGCTCAATGAACAAAACATAGACTTCAGAAGATAAACTCCAATTATCCACATATATCTTGTGGTGGCTCTGAAAGTCTAGTAATTTGTAGAAATTTCAAAAGACGTGGTTGCCGAAATTGGAAGTGGTCAAAGCTGCCTGCAAAGATTGGCTAGAATTCAATGCTGCAAAAGGTTCATAAGCTTATTTCTAAGGAGTCAGTAGAACTAGGTCCTTTAAGGGTTCAATGGTTCTCTTGATTTCTTATATTCATTTGCATGTATTTTATCTGTTCTGATTTCTATGTCTAAAGGTTTCTAGTGTTGTACTTGCTTTCAGATCCTGTTATGTTAGTTGATTCTAGGCCGTTTATGCACGGTTCTCCTGTAAGACTTGAAATGGGGCTATTCAGTCCCCCGGGCTGTAAAACTTCTTGTTTGTTGAAAGGTACTCCTATCGTTTCTAAAAAAAAAACATTAGAAAAATAATCAGAAGAATTTAATGTCCCAGATTTATGACAGCCCCAACTTTTATTTCTCTCAACAATAATCATATAGGTATGTAACTGATGCAGCAAGAAGCTTGTGATGATAGTTTTTGCATAGAACAGAGAGAACGAAGAACTCTCAGCAATCGTTTTTCTTTTCTTAATTCAATTTCATAATATCTGATCAACTCCAGAATACACAACTTCGTCGGTTTTTAAACAAGAAGTCCTAACCACCTATTCTTAAAAGCCCAAACACTACAAGCCCAAACACAACATAAATAATAATAATAATTATTATTATTATTATTATAATAAACATTCAAACTAATGAGACGAGTCGATCATATTTGTCGAGATATGCTAATACAATCTCGTCGGCATCATTCTCTCCCGGGTGGAGAGGATTCGCCCTCGAATCCGTAATCTCGTCGGCGTCCTAAACGACTCTGTCGACAAAATCACCTACGTCAAAGACCATCGAGCGATCATCCTCCACACCGAATAACTTCCTACACTGCTCGACGCGAGAAACGAATAAAACCGGAGACGACGATGGCAAAGGTCCAAAACTGGATGACGACGGATGCAGGACTATGCGAACGCCCTCAAATAAACGTCACACCATGTCATGTCCTTATAAGAGGATCCGATAGAAAATGTCACCAACACGCGTCGGGTAACACGAACAGAATCATCATGATGTATCCATGCAAGAGCATACGGATCCGGATGTTGCTCACTTAACAACCCCAATTTCGTCACAGCGAAATCAATGACAAAACGGCACACACGACCGCCAATGGTGCAAGTGGATTAAAAAAGGTGGGGTTGCGGGACCTTATCCTCGGAAGAGATGTGGGGAGACAAAAGAGACCGACGAAGGACAAGCGCGTGTCCCACGTCTCCCGAAATATGCACTTCGAGAACCTCCGGCTCTTTATCAAAAATTTGAGGACCATCGTAAACAGTCGAGTCTGGCTCGTCAACAATCAAAGCTCGTGACCCTCTCGCTTTCGAGCACTGCGCTTGACGATGCCCCGGCTCACCACAAGTGAAACACCGCGGACCACTAGTCTGCCGATTGCCACTCCCCATCGTGGGGCCAACCACACGGCCTTCAGAAGGAGCACTCATATCGAACGGAGCCTTCACCATAGACGGCGCGGTACCCGAAGGCCCAAAAGGCTCCTTTGTAGACGATGCAAAAGAAGTGCCCCCTTTTCGGGCCTGCTGCTGCTCAACTAATAAAGCCCGCTGATGAGCCTCAGAAACGGAAGCTGGTGTAAACATATTCAACACATCCTGAATAGAGACACGCAATCCCCCAATATAACGAGAAATCAATTGTTCCTGAGTTTCACGAATATCTACCCGGGCTAAGAGTTTATAAAATTTCTCAGTATAATCATTCACACTACGTTGTCCTTGACGAAGATTTTGCAAACGCTGATATAAAGTACGGACAAAATTAAACGGTAAAAATTCTCGTTCAAGATACTTACGAAATTTCACCCACGAAGTGATTTTCGGTTTGCCCTGTCGATGTCGCACACCTTGTAACTGTAACCACCAAGCGGCAGCACGTCCTCGAAGTCGAGTGACCACAAGTGCGACTCGCCTCTCGTCCGGTACACATTTAAAATCAAGGACCGACTCAACAGCGGCTAACCAATTAAGAAAATCGGCAGCATCCAAACCCCCAGCAAATTCTGAAATTTCCACACGAAAAGCCATTTTCCAACGATTATCTCCTTGAGCTCCTTGCCTGTGAAAATGGGCCTCATTACCAGGCCCAC